TATATACACACACACACACACACACACACATATATATATAATTTTATAACCCATTCTGAGGCTTTCTAAAACAAACAAACCCTCCCTTCCCCCTACCCTTGGAAAGAAACAAATCAAAGGTAGAAAATAGGCACTGGGACATCCATATTAAAAGCCAATGTCATTAACTTAGGAGATTTATACAGCAAACTTGGGTGCACCTTCTGCCTTTAGCAAGGATTTTGTGGCCTTATCTGAAAACTAGAATCTCCTGTTGTTTTAGAGGTGACTTGGTCTTAACTAAACGTACAAAAGTATTAAGTTCTCCAGTCTTAAAGGTAAACATCCGAACGTTACAGACATAACAGCTCTATCCCTTTTCTGTCTACCGTCTTTCACTCTCTCTTCCTGGTTAGGCTAACAAGTCTGAATCACAAGGCATCAGCAGCAACAGCAACAAAAAATCAGCTCTGATCTGTTAGGATTCGGGACAGTTATCATCACAGTACCTGTGTCTGGGCTTTGGGGTCAACCTTGACCACACGTATCACCTCTTTTTCTCTACTTTTCATATACTCCATTATTCTTCAACAACACTGGAACCCAGCCTGTTCTTCTTCTATGTTTAAAAATTCCTACTATACAACCTCCTGAAAAACAGAGTTCACCACAAAGGTATACTGTCATGACATTTCGGTAACGGTAATCAAAAAGACGCTTCTATAATTCTACCAGCATTTTTAGAAGTGGGAAAGTGTTCCCCCTGCACCCAGTAATGATATTTAAAAAAAATATGTTCAACTTTAATTTATTGGCATGACTAGGTGGGCACCCAGCACAGATAAAGTAAAATGGGTGATCATCTAAAAGGTATTTATGACAACACAGTGAAGCAGTTATACTCCAATAAAGATGTAAAAAAATAAAAAAATAAAAAATAAAAGGTACTTATATTTGGCTTTGAAATACATTGTTTGATTTACAAAAATGTATGTATGTGTATCAGATTTATTCCTAATTTTGATTTAATTTTAGCTAGTAATAAAAATTAGCTTGAATTTCCAAAGCCCATAATTGCCAAGAGCCTGCAGGAAAAGAGACACTGCAGAGGTGATGCCTTGATTTCTTCAAAGTGTCACGTTGGTACCTTCATGCCTCATTCCCGCCTGTACTGTTAAGTGGTACAACCTACACACTACTTTACATTTTAGAAAAGCCTTTAAATATTGTGGACGAGTTTTTATTGTTGTTGCTGTTTTCTTTTTAAAAAGAAATATATTGGCTCTTTTTTTTAATAAAAATTTCTTGGAATGAAAGAATTGTATCCCCAGGACCAAAATCACATTGAAAACAAAAGTAAGCAAGCCTATTTCCCTAAAGAAATAAAGAATTTTCCACTCAATAGCCTTTGGATTTCTGTTGCTTCGAGAATGTGAATTTTGGTTCAGAGCTGTCCCTTCACACTGCCCCTTTCATTGCTGGTGGCTGAGGCGTGCCTGGAATTTTTCTTGGATTGAGGAAATGGATCCTCAATCCAACAGGTTAAACGGTGAAGTCCAAAGAGTTATTTTTTTCTGAAATTATTGACTTAAAATAAGGTTTAAAAATGTTTGAGGAAACTTACTGGGTCAAATTCCATTACCTTCCAGTTTGCAGGGTTTTTTTTTTTTCTTTCAGCTTTTTAACAAATTGAAATTCTGTAGGGCTTAATTTTTCAATACACAGATATATAGATACACACATGTATTTATATATGTACGTAAATCATTTTTTAGAAGCAAGCACTTCTCTCTGGTATGGCATTATCTGGTACGAGACATTTATCAAAAGTCCCTAGCGGGAAGTTCTTGCCTTTTTTTACATTATGACATCTTCCTCTGGTCACCAGGAGCGCTGAGGGTGTATGTGACTACACCTGGTTTGACCAGGGTTGAAATCTCAGGCCACAAAGGCAGCCTTTTTCAGTTTAGACATCTTCATAGGATGCCAGAGACCCAAATGCTGACATGAGCATGCCGAAGGATCACTAACCAAAGCAAGCAGGCTCGGTTCCTCAGTCCAATCTCCAGAAGAACAAGCATTTCCATTGGCCATGAGTCACAAGGATGCATTTAGAGATACCCAAGGTGAAATTCATTTTGATCCACCCATAGGAGAGTTCCCCTGCTGACATATGCTCTTTTCTTGGTCATTTGACGAGACATGGAGAATGGGCAAGAGACAAAGTGACACAGGGCAAAGTCAAGGAACATCCCCAGGTAGGATGAATTACAGAAGCCATGGAAAGTCGCCTTCTTTAGTGGCTACATGGCTGCTGCCCCTGCAAAGGGAGACCCACACAGTGGGAGGAAGGAGGTGGCATAATAGACAATGGGGTTCCCAAGGGCAGGACTCTGGGGTTCTCCCCAAACCCTGCCTCGTGTTTTCTCTCTAGGACTGAGACACCCGCACCCCCCAACACTGCTGCCTCACCCCAGTGCCGGCCGTGGCTGCACACAGGCTTGTCTAAACTAATTGGTCATTACCACCCTGAGGAAACCTGATCAACCCATTGCAGCAGGAGTTGGACTTCCCCTGTGAGAAGTCCCTTTGGTGGATTTACTTACTGAGGGGCATCTGGAACACCCTGATGGGACAGGGCAGTTCCTGGAGAACAGACCTCTGGGCTGGCCTCATCTCTGTAACTGGTGGGAATGGACCACTGATCTTTCCCAGCAGTTAGAGAAGATGAACACTCCCTGGCCACGGCCCAGAACTGGTGGATGGACCTCACTCGCCACCCTGATCATGGTTGAGACATAGAATAGAGAAGACTCAAAATACAAACAAAACTCATTCGTCCCATGATCCACTTAGCAACAGGTTAACTGTTGAAATGCTTACACTTGACTTTCAACCTTTCCCAGGAATTTTCACAGAAATCTGAATACCCTAAATCATCCACAGCAGCAAATATACTCTGGGATGGCATGAGAAATGACCAAAGTTCTGAACTGAATACTTAAGAAATGAAGCACTTGACAAAAACAAGATGTGAATTTGAACAGCAATAACTTTGGGTTATCACCAGTGTCAAGTTGAATCTATATATGTATTCATATATTATATATATCTCTTTCTTTAGAAATGCAACCTTTACAGCTGATTTTTAAAAAGCTAATAGAAAAGTAGAAACTGACAATTATTTTTACACGCTTTCCCCCACCCCCAATGAAGCCCTGTTAGGATGTAGCAATCACGTGAAGACGAGGCTTGTCAATTCCTCTATAAATTCTTTGGTTCTGTGGCTTGGGAGAGGATGTGTCACCGAGACCCCTACCCTTGACCCTCACTCCCCTTCCCTCCCCTGATGATGAGACTCTGAACATAGAAGGAACCAAGACTAAGGATTAAGCGTAACATTCAAGTGACAATATTATTCCCCACGCTCCGCCGAGCAGAGAGGAGAACTGTTCAGTATCCCAACATCTTAAACTTGGACTCCATGGAACCCTTTGAGAGATTCCATGTCGGGTAGAAAAAGCCATAAAACAAAATGATAGGGAAACAATAAAATCAAACAAATGACCCTTTCCTTTCGTGGCTCAGAAACAAAATTGATTACCTTTACACAGATCAATGGCGCTATTAGTATTTAAGCCAGGCAAGAGGAGATAATGAACTGAAACAAAGGTGTGAGAAATCCTCATCTTTGGTATTGTAGCTGTTGAGGTTTCTGTTGCTCTGTTCCGTGTTCTTTTGAAAAACTGCATAGGCACAAATTAAAGACAATCTTCAACTTTTAGATTACCGCATGAGTTGTCAAATGAAGCAGCAGCCACGGAGGCTTTTCCTTCCTTCTCTTCCTGTCTCAACCCTTTCTTTAAAATCTGCTTCCAAAAAATGTCCCAAGAGGTCTGTTTGAACACAGTGTGTCTCGCTGTTTTTCTGTTTCTGGTTTTTGTTTTTTTTTTTTCTTTTCTGGCGAGCTTCCTTCTCGTTGGTGGTGATGTTCGGTGATTTACGTTTTTATTTATTTATTCATTTTAATGGGACAGTTTTGTTTGTTGCAGAAGTAGGTGCAGAAAAAGTTTCTTTGGTTTCGATTAAGTAATTCATAAAAAAAGTCAGTCTCAAGTGTCTGTAAAGAATCATTGCAGTGTTTGGCTTGCTTTGAACACCCCCCGTGGTGCCCACCTGGGGCCATTCACTGGTAAATATGCACATGGTGACCTTTGCAATCTCCCAGGGTTCTGTGGGCGCTCTTCCATTTGCCGTGGGAAGGTGACAGCCAGGAACCAGAAAGCCACTCGCTGGGTGGCTTGGCTAACATCCTTGGTGTAGCCGGTCCACGCAGCCCGACGATGAACCAAATGCAAGAGCTGAATGCCATTCGGAGTTGCAGAGGTTTTCTGACTTCTAAGAAGTAATCACAGTATTTTTCAGGCTAGAAAATGGCAAGTAATAAATGTCTTTGGTTTGCAGTATTCTGCTTCTTTGGTGTGCTGTGTTTTCTCCAGATTTATTCAGCTGTTTTGCTAGATGATTCAACAATGGAAGAGATTCAGGACTAGATGACGGTTATGAGTAACACGTACGGTGGTTTGAATTATTTATTTTTTCCTTGCTATGAAACACTGAAAACGTCCCTACCGATGGGATGGACAAGGGAACAACCCAAATCTGAAGGAGCGAGAATGTATCATGTGGTCATAATGCACAATAGGAGGAACCAGGTGACAGATAACCAAGAAGGATACATTTATGATCTAAAAAAATCTAGATCTTTTAAAATGCTGCATTTGCTCCGTGTACTGTAACAGTTAAATTGGCCTCCTGAGTGTGCGTCTGCATTATGTACAAACAGAATTTGTAGCAAACTGCAAAATGTGCTTGAAGCCACATTCCCAATGATTCCCTCATGACTTCCTAACTGGTGTCTTGAAAATCGAGATGCGGTGAATCCAGAACCTTCCTGACTTCTCTGTTTATCTTCGTTGTGCTTGATACTTTGAGCTCAAGTGAACTGATCTGGTTTTTTTTTTGATGGATCCAAGACCACGTGAGATTTCCAGGAGGTAAGGAAAAGAAAATTGTAAACTGGATCAACTTAAAGCTTTCTAAACCATTCAATGAAAAAGATGCCTGAGTTGGAAAAACAGGTCCTCGGATTCTTTTTTTTAACTTCCATATTTAAAACTTGTGCTCAGTAATTGTCATTCTGATGTTTTTTTTTATGTTATGGCTGTGAACGTTGGTGAACTATGGTATGATGAGGCTAAGCACTTGGAAAGCAAATGAGGTCATTCTTGTTGCTAGATTCTTCTCTTATTGTAGCATCTTGGGAACCCAAACTCAGAGTCCTTACACAGGCCAAAGTCCCACTATTACTCATGGGAACTTCGACTGCAAGAGGTTGACAGGACTCAGAGTGGGACCGTTGACATTCTAAGCAATCCTGAGCTTGACTGACACCACACTGAAACTGACTTGCTGCAGAAAGGCCCCATTTGGGTTTCTGAGGTGCTCAGCACACTCGCTCAGAGGACAATGTCCGGTTCAAAGAGATTAGTTTTCAGCTTGCACTTGGACTCCATAGCCACTAAAAACCAACGAACAAAAAGAACACCTGGCCTATGATTACAGCTAGAATAGAATTTTCTTTTCAAGAGAATTGTGCTTTCAAATCACCAGTGAAGGGCCCCAGCTAAGAATCCAGCGTCTTTTTCCTTTGCATTTTCTTCTGGTATCTTTTGTCCTCATTTGGAGGTGACTTGTGCCCAACTGAGAGTCCTTCCATCACGCTTTGGTACAGGTGCCGGAGGCGGACGAGGGGCCCCCTGTGCTCAGATCGTCCTGCCACTTCTCCAGGCTGCGGCGCCGGGCATTCATGAAGAAGTTGCTGACGGTCGTAAGCTCCAGGCCCAGCTGCTGGGAAATGGTGATCTGCATCTCCTTGGATGGGCGTTTGTTCTCCTTGAAGATGGCGAAGAGCGTTCGGCGTTGGAGGTCGGTGAACACCAGGCGGGATTTCTTCTGGGAATTGTTCCTGTCTTTGTTTGGTTCTTGCTCTTTGCGTTTGCACGCTTGAAGGGGAAGAGAAGAAGGAGAGAGTCAGTGCGAGCGTGAGAACGTGATCCATTGAGAACATTGACAAAGTCAATGGGGATGGAAAGTCAAAGGGGATGTAAACCGTTAAACTTTATTGTGCAAATTGCCCAGCTGTCAATAACCAGCCTTCCCAGTTCATCTATGGGTGATGGAAAGCATCGGTTAGTGGGGGAAGGGAGAAAGGAGAAAAGAGCAGGGCTGTTTACACAGTCTGGTTTTGAACCAAATGCTTTCTCTTTCACTCCCTACCCACCACTGCCACCCCCTTAAAACTCTTTACCTGTGAAATCAGGTGCTCTGAAGGGATCAGTGACTTCCCCAGGGGGAAGCCTGGTTACTAAGTTCCTCTCTCACGGTCACCCTCTGGAATTGTTTACAGATGAGCCACAGTGACTTTCCGGAGTCAACACTTAAAAGTGCGTAATTTCTCAGAATCAAAGCTTCCACCCTCATGACTCAAAGAATTGTTAACAGAATGAAATTAGAAGTGACAGAGTGATGGTATCATCCCGACCCCAAATCCCCTTCTTCTAGACTTTTGAAAAATAAAAAAAATAAAATCAAACAGGGAGGGAAAGACTGTGAAAAAATTGGTATAACCAGTTTTAATTTGGCTGGTTGGAAGTAAAGCCAGTACAAGAAGACCAGGGCTGAGGTTGGCAAAAGAACCCAAATTTACAGTGGATTATTTTAGGGCCCTAGATGTGTCAATTAGTAGATGCAGAGTCTCTGATTCAGTAGATGGGTATCCACATCTGGGGTGCCATGTGCAGCCAGGACATTAATTTATGTGTCACTACCTCTGCCTTACCCTACAAGTTTCTAGAAGGCAGGGATCAGGTCTGTGTGATATTTCCGACTGGCTCTTTCTGGAGCCGCGGACATAAATGAATGCTTGGGATGCTGATGACAAGTGGTGTCTTGACTCTTTCAGGAATTTGCACACTTCACAGACAGATTGGGTCTCAGAAAAGTAACTTTTTTTTTTTTTTTTTTTGCGGTACGCGGGCCTCTCACTCACTGTTGTGGCCTCTCCCGTTGCGGAGCACAGGCTCCGGACGCGCAGGCTCAGCGGCCATGGCTCACGGGCCCAGCCGCTCCGCGGCATGTGGGATCCTCCCGGACCGGGGCACGAACCCGCGTCTGTTGCATCAGCAGGTGGATTCTCAAACACTGCGCCACCAGGGAAGCCCAGAAAAGTAATTTTTAAGGGCTAAATAATATTGTGCATACAAATCACAAATTTAAACATGGGAACATGTGTTAAAATCACTGGACAGAAACCACAGCTCATCCAGGGGTTTTGTGCCGCCTCAACAGAGCTAATCCAGGAAAGGCGAGGAGGGAGCAGAGGGCCGGCTTTGAGCATCCTTCCCTGGATCAAATCCTACTGGACATTCTGGCTCCAGGTTGAGAATTTCTTTGTACTCAACTGACATTCCCCTAAGGCTAGCAGTCGTCTGGAGTGCAGTCTGGAAGCCTTTTCATACTTCTCAAAGCCCTGATTTGTGAGTTTCGCTTCTGAGCTTTGGGTCAGGCCATTTTCTACTCTTTGCATTCTGCTGGGAGCATTTGGTATAGTGGGGCCGCTGGCTGCAGTTTGAGTATCAGGGGAACATCCTTCAAACGGATGGGTCTTCGGATTTAACCTAAGGACCAACACTCGTAGCAAAGATATTCTGGAAGCTGAACTTCCCCCTACCCAACTGGCCATCCTCCCTGGTGGATGCTATCCGCCATGAAGGATCACTCCTGAAATAAGTGAAGAGCCATGATAAAAAGGGCAGGAACAGGAGAACCCTCAAAAAGGAACACTGCTGGGCTACGTCAGCTTTGCGGAACCCTTTCTTCCTGACTTTTCCTTCTCTCGTTTCTAAAAGTAAACATATTACCTTTGTAAATTAAACACAACACACACATACACACCTATAAAAACAGTATGTTTCCATCCCAAACCCCATTCTCTTGGGAGGTTTGGACGTTTTCAGATAAGGGGCATTTCCCCCGAAATGGGAACTCAGAGAGAAAGGGCTGAAACGGCTTACAGTCACCCTTCTCCCACAGGAATTTCCCGGTAATGATTTCTTCTTTGATTATCCCTGGGAGGATCTTACACTGCTGTTGGATGTTTGGATAGTTACCATAACCTCATCTGTAGACTTCCTCTCTCTAGTGCAATCCTCTACAACAGTGCTTCTAAAGTTCAAGGTGCACAGGGATCATTGGGAAGCTTGCTCAAATGCAGATTCTGAGGCAGTCAACCCAGGCGGGGCCTGAGAACCTGCATTTCTAACGAGCTCCCAGGTCATGCTGCTGCTGCTAGCCCCTATGCCTCGGTTTGACTAGCGAGCATTTACCTGATTTCTAAAATCTCAGAGGAGCACCCTGATGGGATGGAATGTTCTGGAACCAGATGCCTGGATTCTCTCACCTGCGCTCCTTCACCTACAAGACTTGGGACCTCGGTAAATGACTTAACCTTTCAATGTCCGTCTTCCTTACCTGCATAATGGAAATAAGGTGCTCACCTCTGTAGAGGCTTACGTGAGGCAAAGTGTGTGAATGCTCCCTCCCCACCTCCCCTCTGGCTGCATAACCCCAGCAATCCTGAGGAAGATAAACAGCAGAATTATTCTCATTTTAAAATGAAATAAATGGAGACCTGAGGGTGTAAGCGATTGACCTGAGGTCACATTCCAAGTTGGCTGCAGACCCAGGGCAAGAATCCAGCCCTTGGGTCTGTCCATCTTTCTCTCCTATAGAAATGGCATCCCACGCCATTGGCACCTTAGAGGGACTCTATCTGCACGGCAGCCTCGGAGGTTCTACCCCCCCGAGATTCTGAATTTTACCTGGAGGGGCAGTGTTCTGGAATCTGGGGAGATATTGAATATAGTTCCCTGTGCTGTACAGTAGGTCCTTGTTCTTTATTTTATATACAGTAGTGTGCATATGTTAATCCCAAACTCCTAATTTCTTTCTCCCTCCCCATCCCCTGCTATCCCCTTTGGTAACCATAAGTTTGTTTTCTACGTCTGTGAGTCCATTTTTTGTTTGTAAATAAGTTCATCTGTATCACTTTTTAGATTCCACATACAAGTGATATCATATATTTGTCTTTCTCTGTCTGACTTACTTCACTTAATATAATAATCTCTAGGTCCATCCATGTTGCTGCAGATGGCATTATTTCATTCTTTTTATGGCTGAGTAGTATTCCGTTGTGTGTGTGTGTGTGTGTGTGTGTGTGTGTGTGTGTGTGTACCACATCTTCTTTATCCATTAATCTGTCAATGGATATTTATGTTGCTTCCACGTCTTGGCTATGGTAAATAGTGCTGCTATGAACATTGGGGTGCATATATCTTTTCAAATTAAGAGTTTTCTCTGGATATATGCCCAGGAGTGGGGTTTCAGGGTCATATGGTAGCTCTATTTTTAGTTTAGTTTTTTTAAGTTTTTGGCACGGGGGATCCTAGGTCCCTGACCAGGGATCAAACCCATACCCCCTGCATTGGAAGTGTGGAGTCTTAACCACTGGACTGCCAGGAAGTCCTATTTTTAGTTTTCTCAGGAACCTCCATACTGTTCTCCATAGTGGCTGTACCAATTTACATTCCCGGCAACAGTGTAGGAGGGTTCCCTTTTCTCCACACCCTCTCCAGCATTTATTATTTGTAGACTTTTTAATGATGGTCCTTCTGACTGGTGTGGTGGTGTATTTGCACTTTTAATAGGGAGTTTAGATTGATTCAGGTCCATGTTGGCCTGTCAGGTTATATTTGAAGATATATCTACATATGATTTAAGAAACAAATGTTAGAAGTTTAACGTTCAGCAACCTGCAGAGAGAGAACAGATCATCAGATCCTGTGTATGCCTTCCCAACAGCTCTCCAAAGACAACAGACTCTACACCAACAAACGCAAAGCTGCAGCCTGTGGTCTGCCAACGTACGGCAAGTCCAAAAGCCCAAAATAATGAGGCTGCAGGTACATAACCTGCCCCAAGTCCTCACAGCTGACAGTTGCCCCCTCACGATTCTTACAAAAGCAGTTGGTCAGGAGCTGAAGGAAAATACAAACAAGAGGGCAAACGCCTGCTTTGAAAGTCTAATAAAAAGTAGACAGATTGAATGATGTCTGGAAGCTGGCAGGAAGGTGGGAACCTCAGAATTTCTCAGACAAGGTGTGGAGCTAGCTTTGCCCAGAGGCACAGTCAGAGTGTAAATGGTTTTGGTTAGAACATTACACACTACAAATGCCCATTTCAAAACAGCTAGGGAAATGTCAAGTAGCTCCCTACGGCCCAGGAATGTGTGTTAGAAACCCAACAGACTGTTCATCAGTGGTGTGGATGGAGTGAGTTCCTGCCACTCACGATAAACTCTGCTCCAGGAGGGTGAGAGGTTAGCCCAGACTCCTGCAGGCACTGGGATCTGCTTCTCCTCCCTCTTCTAGGAAGGAAGCAGGGAGGGCGCACCATGGGGTGATGTGTGTGTTGCCTGACGGGAAGAGAGAGAAATCCCTCATTCTCCATCTTCCTTCCTCTTCTGGGGAAGTGGTCCCTGTGTGGGTCATGGAGGTTTGAGGGCTCATTTCTATTTCAAAGACAGGGAGAAATCATTTGTTGCCCACAATGAGGCTACCTACTGGGGCTACAGTGCCTTTTCCCTCCTTTTGGGGGCAGGAACGATATCAGCTCAGATGGGGAAGGCTGCCTGTCCCCCGTGGACCAGGACCTGGGACTCGCAGGTATATACAGATAGAGGTATCTGTGATCAGTAACAGAGGTGACAGCTACTGCCTAAGTAGGGTCCTGGGTAGACAAATTTTTCAAACCACTGGGTTCCCAGGGTGAAATAATAAGAAGGGAAGCCCTGGTTCAAGGCACAAGCCCTCCCCGAGACCGTGAGATGCCAATTCACCTTTTCCCAGGTGGCCACCCTCAGAGGGTCAGAGACGAAAGTGCATCT